TGCTTAATCGTGGGTGCATGTGCCCATGTAGATTATATTCAAACATAGAACTTTTTTTGTCCAATCTCACTCTTGCTTATTACATTCTTATTATTATATTTATTATGCTTAGCCACAGCTGTCTTCAATTCTTCAAAGAAACCAAGGTCTTTCTCCCTTCAGGTTCTTTGCACAAGCTTATCCTGCTGGCTAGAAGGTTCTGGCTTCCACTTCTCATTTTTTTTTTTTCCAGTTTCAGACTAAATTATACCAATTTAAAAAGTAACTTTATCTGATAACATTATATAAAATAGATCTTTGCTTTTTCTTTGTTTTCCCCTGACTCGTTGCATTTATGTTTTCTTTAACCCAGTTTTCAAAATTTAAATATTTATTCATTCAATTTTTTTAAATTCCTCTTTCTCATTAAGTTTCATTAGAGAGAATACTTTCTTGTCCTTTTCATAGTGTTTCTGCAGGTCATATTACAATATTTATCATCTTGTAGATGTGCAATAAATATTGTTCAATATATAAATGAATGATTTTTCATTTAAAGAGGTTAGCTTGTGCACTGTATGTCTGTGAGTAGAATAAGTTGTTTCCATGGTAATATCTGAGAAACTAATTATTGAAATATTTGTCACTGCTGAATGAAATGAATTACAACCTTGATTTAAATTTGTTTGTGAATATCCATTATATGTAAAGCATCAGCTAGATATGTACCTAGAAATATAGGCTATTAACTTTTTTTTTTTTTGACCTATAATATAGCAAACTTTATATGCTGTAGTATTGGTCAGGGAAAGAAGGGATTAAAAGAGGCAAACCAAAGTATTTTTTTTTAAATCTAGACACAATTAACTTGATGCCAAGTAGTATATCTCAACTTCTATAGATGGTAATAAAGCTTAAATTATCCTCTACTAGGTTTATTTACAGTAACAGCTCCTTCCTGGAGGAAGAAGAGCCGAAGCAGTCTGTCACCTAACTCATTCTCAAATAATAAATATTCTGAGACTAAACAGGAGACCTTGACTCAACACCTAGAAATACAACATTTAGTCCTTGAGTAAATGAACCATCTGGAGCAAATTATCTCAAGTCTGTATGTATGGTGAACAAGAGGCCAAATCTGAAATAAAATTCTAGAAAGATCTTATGAAGGGGATAAGATGTAGAAGAGAATTATAGAAGGACCTCTGGCCAAGACTGGTCCCTGAAGTTCTCTATTTCTCTTTCACATTTGACTCTGAGTATGGCGGTATCAGGCACAATGAAGGAGATACTGGTTTCTCCACATCTGTTCCTCCACCCCTCCAGCTAGATTACCGTTCTCTTCAGACAGAATTTGAGTTATCCCCAGCTGACTCCTTTACAGCACTTGAAATGTCCTTTTTAGAGATGTTTCCTGTCTCTGGTGGAACGTGACCTACATTAAGAGGTCTTTTCATTAAGATAGCTCCATTTCCCTTATCTCCTTGGCCTCCTTTCTGCCTACAGAATTTGAGAAATTTCCTTGTAATTTTATCATTTATTATTATTATTATTATTATTATTAAAAACTCTCTGAAGAATAAAAGACTGATGTTTAGGGCATTGTTTGCCACTAAATCCCCAGGACCGAGCCAAGCACTGGAACACAGTTTGCATTCAATAAATATTTACTAACTGATTAGTAAGTTTATCAAGTCAAAATGTATAACTGACCAAAACCGACCATCCTATTAGACATATGAACTGTTAGTCATAGGTTTTGCATTCTAATCTTGAGATCCTCAGTCCACACTCTCATTTCTGCCTTGGCCATTAGAGAGGCATAAGTGGAGAGGATCTTTTTCTTCTTCCTGTTAGACTGAGGGCCAAGTAATCTGCAGTTACCTCTATCATGCCATCATAGAGTTAGGGACTAAAAACATACATTATCTTCTATCTTTTGACTTAAAATAAATTACCTATAACTACTGGAAATAAAAAAGTAACTAGTAATCAGAATATATATTAACATTTACTTATGTAATGGAGGGATTATTTAAAAGGATTCTAATCAAAAGGGATTCACATTGATTTTGTATAATAAACTGTGAACTATTTCTCTGTGTCATGGGTGGCTATTACTCTCTTAAGGAAACAAATTTAATTTAAATGTCATCTTTCACTTTAGAATCATGAGAAGGTAGTAGGAGCAATTATGATTTGCAATTCTACTTTCAAAGTGCCAGTTTTATCATAGACGTATCATAAACTGGGGAGATCTGTATTAGAGAAAAGTGGCCTCTTCTCTCTCTGTCTCTCTCTTTGACTTTTTATTTAAATGAGTTTAATACAGTGGAAAAGAGTCAAGCACAATAGAATTATCTGTCACTGACATTGGTTTCCATTTTGTGAGATGTTTTAAAAACCTCTTTACAAAGGCTCTCTCAGTCCAGAAGTTTTCAGACTAGGTTTTCTTAATGGCTTGCCCTTGATCACAGCTAATAATCACCAGCTGCGCCATCTCCTAAGACACTGACCCCCGTAATCCATACCTTCCAGCCAAACCAGACAATTCCAAGTCACCTGCACTTCTTTCTCGGAGGCTGTTGTAGAGCAGACTTTAACTATTGAAAACTATTGAGTGACTATGACTTTAGTGCTAATTCAGTTTTTGACATTTGTCTCTCATGAGTGTGTGATCATCTGATAATGAATATTCTAATTTCTAAGTGAGTCGATGGTTTGTGTGGTATTAGGAAAGACAATTAAAAGTGTATCTCTGCTGAACTTATATGAGTGAATACTAGTATAGGTAACAAAGATGAATTTTGGAAAACATTAAATATAAAAATGAGATACTGAAGCCATTAAATGTGACCTAGGAATGATGTAATGAATCAGATATGAGTTCTGACTAGCACAAAGGAATCAGAGAATTCAGGAGTTGTTTGAATGACTGCATGTGTATAAACCAGTCAGCCATATGTCCAAAATTTATGCTGAACAGCCAAAGATCTGATCTCTACATGTAAAAATGAACTCTAACAAACGTGCCTAAACAGATTCATTTGAGGATAATCTAGTGCATTGGACACACACACAACATACACATTTCTTCACAGGAGTCATTAATTTTGATTTGCAAAAATCATAAAACAAAGAATCAACTTTTCTTTTTTATTTTGATCTTCCATTGGAAAGATGATGAAACAATGCATTTTTTTTTTTTCTGAGGATAAGTACTGCTGAGGAATCATTAAAACCTTGCAAACAGTCAAAATCCACCGGGTAGAACTCCAAATTTCGGGAGTTTCAAAGGCATGCATGTCAATATCATGAGCGAAGCCACTGTTGAACTTTTGAAATATCAGTGCCATTGACTCTCTAAACTTGTGTGATGAGCTTTGCATGAACAATGGAGTTTTATTTAAATTATAATGCATTTGACAGATTCTGTATGATTGAAAGCAGCTGGCTTACAAGTCTGTGATTGGCTACATTACCCCAGCAACGATCTGGCTCACATAACCATATCCTTAAAACTGACCTGCATATATTTTATATATTTTGATTGAACTGTCTCTGCCAACTCAATCCATCAACTTAGCTAAATGATATTTACTGCCATATATATAGCATATACATATGGCATACATACATATAGATACATACACACTCCATCCTTAAAGGACCACAAATGAAAATGGTCTAAACATGATAGTTAGAGGGCATTTCCACATGGTAAAAAATTAAGAAACATTTGAACTAATGTTAGAATGTTAAAAAAAAAAAGAGTATATCACTGAAAGGCTAATGCTTTGGTTATAACAATATTTATGATGTTTAGGTTTTCTGAAATTAATCAGTTTTATTATTACAATTTTAGTTTTGCTCTGTGCATGTGTGTGTCTTACTTTGGTACATGGAAACAATACTAATCCTTCAGATATATGAGAATAGTCTAGAGGAAAATGTCCACTGTTTTATAGGACGGTAACACATGGACATTTTTGTAATAATTAAAAGTATAGAGCTACAATGCTATTTCTTTTTTTAGGTGGAAAAAGATCTGACTCTTGTCAGGTAAACTGCTCAGCAAATAGTAAGTTTAATTCCTAACACCCACATGAGGCACAAGAATAGTTGGATTAACAACTCCAGTGTCATGCTGTCAGCTGCTGTTTATTTAAATTAAAATGTCACCATCCAGAAATAAATTAGGAAGTCGAAAAACGATAAATTTCTTAAACATACAGTACTTTGGCACCTTGTTAAAATAAATCTATTACATTTGTGGTTTTTAGAATTTTACATAGACTATTTCCATTTTGACATTCAGAGTATAGCAGGTTTTGTTTTTGTTTTTATACTTCTTTCTTATAACTCTCTTCCTCCTCCCTCCCGCACCACTTCCTTCCTCTGTCTCTCCTTTCTTCCTTCCTTCTTCTTTTTTTTCTCTCCACCCCTCCCCCCTCCGTCTTCATTATCCCTATTTATGCTATATGAGACAGGTAGAAAATATGCCATCAATACACAATTATCAGATGCTACACTTGCATGTGTAAAACATGTTGTTTACCTTATATTTACCTAAATTATCTACATTTTTACAGATTTCAAAATTCACTTCCTACAACTTCCTACAACTAGTCATCCTGGGTTCCACTATTATGTGTTATTCCTATGTTTGTTGTGAAACGAGCATGCCCTCCCTACAAGCTTTTCCCTCGCTTCCTGTCATTTGAAGGTTAAATTTTTGTCCCCATCACTCTAATACCTCCCCGAGATATTTTAAGATAGTTATTTGGCTCTGGGCTCACAGCACAGCAGGCTATTCCACTTCAGGAGCCAATTTGGTCACAAGTAGGAAGAAAATTAACATCTCAGAAAGAAAAATACTCCTTCTCTGTTCCCATTTGGATGTTTCTTGCCTGTGACTTTGTAGATCATAAATGATGCAAATGCACACTATAAGGCAGGTTAATCAAATATGAGACAGTTGTATACAAACATATCAGCATTAACAACATGGAGATATTTACTTGGCCGGGTTTTCCATTTTCACATAAAAATGCCTCATATTCGGATGCGAATTCAGGGGCGTTGTCATTGACATCCAGCACTTTTATAGCAACAGGTACTCGTGATATCTGACTGTGGTTCCCTATGGGAAGGAAAAAATAACATCAGCATGGAGGGTATTTCATTTTTAACGTGCAACTCAACTTTCTTCTTGAAAGCATGTGTGTCTGTTTCAACTTCCCTTAATTGGGGTGTTTTCAACGTGGTGATTATAAAATCTGACCACTCAATGAGGAAAAATATCAAGTGCTTAACTGCTTAGCTTGATAAAGACCACCTCTGAATAATTAAAAGAAGTTTCCTTGATGAAGAAAACTTCATTTGATTGATAAAGTCCATTATACAAAAGAAAAAAATGCTGTATGCAACAAAGTTTTATCACTTTGTT